CGGTCACAGGTGCTGGCGAAACGTTAGGAAACAAAACTTCCAGAACACAGCCACATAGCCCAGAAGACCCACACCAGTCAACAATTAAAATAATGTCAGTAAGCCTTACAGACACCTACTCCTAAATTAATCTAAGTGCTTAACACATGCCGGAACAAAACAGCTTTGACTTGTCTATGAAATGCCAGCAAGGTCAAAGCCATCTGAATCTGGGGGTTGGGGAGAGATTCTATAGAGAAGGTGCTGTAAATGAGAAGACCTGTCAACTGGTCTATACCTTGTAAAGGAGAACCTCTCTTGATTATCTATTCAAATGGGCAGGTTCCATTAGAGTAAGGATCCCATTAATCAGTTTAATCTAGGCTCCTTTGTAGATGATTTACCACAACCTTAAGGTCACTTTGCAAGGGTGGGAAAGTTGGAAATGGATAGTATGATCTCAAAAACAGCTGGATCCAAGGAAGACCTTTTCAAGAGAGTGCACCACTACCCCTTTTAGAGTAGGCAACAGGGAAGCACTGATAATGTCCTGGAACCAGCAGCTCAAGTCATGCTTGGCCACCCCAAGAAGGCAGGAGGGGCATAGATTGAGCCTGCAGATGGCAAAATTCCAATTATAGAGGGCCCTACTCACTTGCTCAGTCTCCCAAAATTCCAAAGAATCCCAGGCTGTGATTTATGTAGTAGATAAAGTCGCTAGTTCACATTTTCTGGTGCCCAATCAAGAATGGGAACTAGCGACTTTATCCAGCACAAAGGAATGGCAAAGTCATACATTAAGCCTGCAAGGGCTTCCCCCAAAGGCTCTGAGTTATTTTACACAGACCTGCTGAGCAAGAATCTGCAGATTGATTTATTTAATTTATACAGCCAATTAATATGATTATATTTATTATCTATCTATCTATCTATCTATCTATCTGCAATAAACACAGATGCTTTGCCACCCATATTGCTGCTGTGTAAGCTAAAAAAAACCCTCCTACCAGCAAGAGTTGAGACAGGTTGGACTAAAATGATGGGCTGGGGCAAATGTGCCTTGAACAGCTGTTTGTTATACATAGAGTTTCTACTGTCAGTAGTGATTAAAGTGCTACTTAGAAACAAGTGCCAGTTCTTTTTGCAGGTCAGCAACATGAAGCATACTTCAAGGGATTGATATAGCCCTTAGGCATATGGTAAACACAATTCTGTCATGTCATAAACTATTTTCTATACTCCTGAGAAGTGACATTAGCCAGCTATAGTACAGGTAGTCCTTTTTTAGCAACTGCCTTGTTTAGTGACTGTTCACAGTTACAACGGTGATGAAAAAGTAATTTTACAACCAATCCTTGCAGTTACGACTTTTGCAGGTCTGTAAAGTAAAGGAAAGCTGAAGGAAGATCATAAGCACAGTTGCACTTTCCCTTAGTGACCACTTTGCTTAACAATCTTAGGCACAAAGCCAATCACTCTGTATCACCCCTAGGAAACAGGCAATGGCAAACCACTTCTGAAAAACCTTGCCATGAAAATTGCAGGGACAAATCCCGGTAGTTGCCAGGAGTCAACCTTGACTCGAAGGCATAAAAAAAAGTGACATATAGTACTTTTCAATTTGTTAGCCACAGTCAAGTTCTTGTTGATGATACTGTTCAAAGGGTTACTAAAACATGATTCCAGTGATTCTAACTTTAGGACAAGTATCAGGAAAAATGCTTAATATAAATGTTACGTTGTTTTTTAAGCTGTTCTTTTTAGCTGAATTGTTTTAGAAGCAAGCAGTAGGTTTCTGCCTTGATACTTGCATGTTTATTCATGGTTACATGCATGCTTCCCCATTCATTTAATTGCACTCTTAGCCCAACCAAAAGCTAAAAGACTGGGCAGTGAGAATACTTACCGACATCAGTTCCTTCTGGAAAGATTTCTTATCCTTACTTTCTGAATTATTACAGTCCTCCTTCAATTTCTCCAACACAGAAGCAACACATTCTGGCTCACTGTCCAGTTCTGCTCGACAGAAAAAAGCAAGTGGCAAATTCCCATATCCCAGAGCATCTGCAAATGCACGCCAGCTGCTAATATTTTCCATGAGCAAAGTCCTTACTGAAGCATAAATATAGGTAAGAAATTTGCAAGGTCTCAGGATTTGCTCCAGCAACATACTTGTGGTAAGCTCAGGTCCAAAGAAATAATTTGGCTTGACTTTTCCAACAATTAAAATATTTTTAGCATGGACTAGGCCAATTTTACCATGATAGTAACCAATGTACCATTCCTTGGTCCAGAGCTGACCTTTCAATTTGATTTTCTCCTCACTTAGCAAAGCTATAGCATCTCCTTTCTTATACTCCAAGAGATAATGGTTCTTATTTTGCCTCACTACTGTTTTCAGCATTTTGCCATATTTTAAACCAGCTACAGTCCGATCTTGGAAAACTGGATATTTACTGGTGGTCGCAAGAGGGGACAAAATTATTTTCCCAATCTCATTTTTTTTCAGAAACCTTCGCTGTCCAGTGGACCTAGTAACATTTTTAGGAGGTGGCTGAGGTGTCTGCACACAGAATTGAGTCAGTATAATATCTTTGTCATCTTTGACTTGTATTCTTAATGTAAAGTCAGACAGCTCATTAGGATCATGTGACATGATGGGGAAGATGAGGCGACTGACTTTGCCAAGCTTCATTTGGAATCCTCTCACCATTTTTGCCTGGTCACTGGCTTTTACCTCATAATTAGGCATATTTGAAAACATACAAAGTTTTAGGTCTTGTGGCCTTACTAAGGAGAACTGGTGCTTTCCCCACAAATGCAGCACCACAGGTGCTGCACAGTGTACTTGACGTGTAACTTCATTCACTAGAAGAGTCTTTGGGGCACAGTCATGTCCAAAGACAGCAACCACAGTCTTAAAGGAAGGATGTATGTGTTTTGGACCATAGACCCCAACTGTAACTTTTTTATTGATATAATCCCAAACTGTGTAAGGATATGAAATGTTCTGTCCTTGGGCTACAACAGCTATATACATGCAGGGCTCCAGGTTCTCCAACTGAATCTTGATTGTGTCTCCGCAGCAGTAACTAAGTTCCACTGGAGTATATGGGCCTTCCTTCACATCACTCCGCAGGCACTGTACTCCTACAAAATTCTTGCTCACAATGTCATTGTTAACTTCTGCTGAAATTTTCATTTCCAATATAATGGGAGTTTTGATTTCCATGTTGCTCAGCTTAATTTCTAGCACAGGACTTATAGTACTGCATTTGTCACTGTTGAGCTCCAGAGGTGGATCCAACAGAGCTTTCATGGAGATCTGTTGTGTATCTCCATCAGCCACATGTCCTTCAGGAATATGAATATTAATATTTGTATCTGGAAGCTGAACTGCACCACCTGAACTATCTAGTTTGCAAACTATGTTGGTCTCCACAGGTTGTGTCTGACCCCAACCAGGGTTTTGACCCAGCAGATCCAAGTCATGGCATGATCTTGCTAGTTTCCGATGACTTAGCCATGCAACTCTGAAATCTTCTCTACTCTGGAATTGCTCTGGGGTAGGAGATTTCAATCCAGTGAAGAAACCTGATGAAGATGGACTTTCTGATTTTGCCTGAAGTACAGAGAGCTCTGATAAACTGTATGAGCGTTTGCTTCTAAAAAAAGGATTGTCTCGTCTGCTTGGTTGCTCAAAGTCACCATTCACTGATGGCACTTTATCAAGATTATTACCTATACTGCTATTTGCTGCAGAACTTGACCCTATATATGTAGGCACTGTATCAAACAGTAACAAATCCACTGTGATTCGGGGGGAACCCTCTTTGTTTTTTTCTGACATTCCTTTCATATTTCCATTCAGAAAAGGGTTAGTAGTTTGAGTATTGTTCAAAAAAGGATTGCTTTTAGTTATGTTCCACTTCACATCTGACCAGTCTCCAAGCAGGTCCAGCTCTTTTGCTCCTTCATCAGAACTTTCAAGGAGATTGTCTATCATTCCACTGTCAGTTAATGAAGAGTTCCAATAGTTTATAGGCTGCACATAGGAGGATGGGATATAGCCCATTTCTGTGGTATTGTGTGCATACCACCACTCACCTCCTGAGGTATCTAAGACATAGAGATGGTCTCCCTTGGAAAACTTCAATGTAGTAAAATTGTTTGGACAATAGTCTTTAATAGCTACAACTTCCTTTGCAGTTCCAAATGATGTAGGACTATCTCCCATCAAGGCACCAGGAGAAGGCACTACAAAGAAAATAGTGGACCAAAAATAAGAAACTACAAATGACATAACTAATAAATGCTACAAGAAGTTACACCAAACAATGAAGCACTCCTATTAAATCAGGATGCAGAACTAGAGGCTCAAAGGCTTCATGTGGAGCTTGAAAAAATTGGATGTACCTTCCAGAATCCCCTCCCTCAAATACCATCAAATTGTACTTGATGTGACAAAAGATATATAACAGTGGTACCTCGGGTCATGAACGCTTCTGTTCACGACCAATTCGGGTCATGAACAGCTCCGTTTGCAAAATTTTGCCTCTGTTCGCGAACACTGGATCGGGTGACGAACAGGATCTGCAGCCATTTTCCCTCTCGTGACACGTGGTCGTGGCTTCCTGTAGGGAGGGGGACTCTCCCTCCAAGCAATAACCGCCTCCCCA